TAAACATGGGTGTACATATATCTGTTTGGATGTCAGTTATGGTATCTCTTTGGAGTATATTCCCTGTAGTGGAATTGCTGGGTCACATGGTATCTCTATTTGCAACTTTCTGAGAAAGCACCGTACCGCCTTCCACAGTGGTTGCACCATTTTACACTCCCACCAGCAGTGAATAAGGGCTCCAGTTTCTCCGCAACCTCACCAGCATTTGCTGTTTGTATAGTGATGTTTTAAAGAAAAGATGGACAGAATTGGTCTCACACTGGGAGCAGCACCAGGACTGACCAATCAATCACAGGCCATTTTTGGTGAAGGACTTTTTTGAAGGACAAAAGTCCATCCCACCAGTCGCTGCTTCCTCCATACATGCAGAGACCAGAGACGAATGTGAAAAACCATCATGAGCTTTATTGGCAGCTCTGGAAAGCAGAGAGATACTTCTCTAAGACTGCCTAACCATCTCCCATCTGGTCAGATATTTATACTTTGTCAACTGTTTCAAGGTTATTTGGAAAAGACAATGCAAATTCTACTAAGTTAAACAGTGCCTTTGACATACCATTACCCCTTTTCTGGAGTTAAAGAGAAAACTGGTGGCCTAGTGATCAGAAGCTGCGCTGCAGTCCTGAAGACACACGGTTCAAATCCCCAGCTGCTCCACAGACGGCTGGACAATCTCCTGCGTGATTTACTGCCTTTGAAAACCCTCTAAATGATCAACTGTGGATTGATTCCAGCTCGATGGTGCTCAGTAACCTGGAGGTAAAGGCTTCTTGTTTGCAAAAACAACTCACCCTTGCTAAGAGGCATAGTGCTGGGACACTAACCAGTCTGACATGTTATCTCTCTTTCCGAGGCCAGAGAGCTTCTTATTTGGAGAAGTGATTTCCCTTACCCTGACAAAAACGCTACTTTTCATCTTAGTGTGAGCCCCTCTTACTTTTCCAAACCGCAATTCATTTAGGAAGAGTTATCCTTTTTTTAAAAAAAAATATGAGATTATAACCTTGAATTGGGGTTTTAAGCTATTTTACTTAAACTATTTACAACACTGGCTTGACTAATTTATAAGAGTACAAATACAGAAAAGTTAAACATCGAGATGAGTGGTTCAAAGGGGAAACAAATTGCTAAAGGAAACAGTTTACATTTGTCAATATTTTACAGTAAATTCTTGTCAGTTGGCCCAGAGGTAAGAATCTTTATCTTCTTGATATTGAGCCTTAAGCCACATTGATGTTGAAAACTATAAATACGGGTGTAGCTACTATATTGGAGTTAATTATTACTATTTACTTTGCTACTTTATTTCTTTGGGCATGTGACCAGGAAGAACTAGTCCTTGGAGAAGGACATCATGCTTGGAAGGGTGGAATGACAACACAGGAGAGGAAGACTCCACATGAGATGGACTGATACAGTAACTGGGGCAATGCAGTAGCCGTGTCAGAGTCAGTGAGACTGGCTCAGGACTGGGCAGGCTTCAGAGCTGTTGTACATAGAGTTGCAATAAGTCACAGGCGACTTGACGGCGCATATCAACACATAACAACAACAGCGCTTCATTTCTCCTACGAAGTACTATTTATCGAGACAGAATCTCAGGCTATATGCATCGCCCTTTCGTCTGCAATGAGATGGGTCCACAACTGAGATTCTGTAGGAGATGGGGCCATTCATGATGAAGTATGATGTGAAATGTAAGAATTAGACTTGAATAATACAAACGGAAATCATGTGTTAGAGCTATAGCAGACAGCAAAGAATCTAGATACACGGGAGTCACTGCTGATGCGAACAAAGGGGCTGACAGTTGGGAAAAACATCAAGATAAAAGCCGATGTGCTCATCAACCACTGAGCGGAACTACCAGTAAGAGGCAAATAAGAATAAGCCATAGTAGAGAAGGTATAAGATGATGCATAAATGATCTCCAGGGTAAGGATACTTTCGGTGGCTCTGGTCTCAACAGAGCATTTGGAGGTCATGTTGTTATTATAAATATGCTGGACTCGTTGCTTGTGTCTGCACAGGATAAAAACCATAGAGCCACTGGCCAGGGACATGAATCCCAAACACAAAACATCATGAGAGTATATCAGTGCTACATAGAGCGAACACGTGACATTGTCATAGTGTTTGGAACAGTATTTGAACACATTCTTCTTTATGATGATGGCGGTGGTGTTGGTCCATTTGCTAGAGACATAAACAGGAAAAATGGCATTGACCAGCATGTGTAGTATCCAGCAGAGAATGCTGGAAGGACCAACGTACTTTAGGGCCTTTAGTTTAAGCCCTGCCCACCTGGAGTGCAGAGGGCTGATGGTGATGACCTGGAATACACTCAAGAGGCAGGTGGTGAAAATGGACACACCCCTGGCCACTCTCTCAAAGTATAAAAAAAGGTTGCAACCAACATCATTGAGGTGATGTGTTAAACCCAAAGCCAGCATTATCTGGGGGACCCCTTTAGAGAGAATGGCTAAAGCGTTGGCTACAACCAGGTGCCTGAGAATCAAGTCGGTGGGCCTTGAATTGCAGCCAAAGAAGTGAAGGACAGTCTGATGAATCATGAGTGAGAAATTCCCTAGTATTCCAACAATCATCTGGAATAGGAGGATCATTGCCAAGGTTAAATCCATGGGACAATTCTTTCCTTTTCAAATCCACAGACAGAAGGTTGTGTATGGAGATATGAGGGTTGAGCTACATTTTCAGAGGAGAAGCAGCAGCCCAAGTTTCCCTGACTGTTATTTTACTCTGAGAATTACCCTCTAAACATATTCTCTTTGGTTCACAGATTTCAGTACTTCTTTTGTTGTGTTCACTAACTTTTGGTCCCCATTTTGACGGTTTTGTCTGTATTAAGTGATTTAGTATTCATGACTTTATAAGTTGTTGTTAAGTGTCGTTGAGTCATAGATGACTCATAGCGACCCTATGAATGAAAGACCTGAACACTTGGATAACTTTCATCATTTCTCCAAGTTCATTGAGTTTCCAGAGGCAAGCTATTTCAGAAGTGGATGCCATTCCTGCTTCCCAGAGTGTTTTAATTGGTGAGCTCCAGCAAACACTGTCCACCATGGGTGACCATGATCGCATTGGACACATCAGTGCCACAGTGTTCAGCATCACAGCAACCACAAGTTACCTCTGTACAGCAAATGGACAGACCAGTACTGTACCACTTAGAAGAATGTTTCACCAAAACCAGGTAGAATGTACTAAATATAATTTTTGTTGAACAGATGAGTGAAAAAGACACTACAGATTTTTTTGCAGTTAAAATAATGAAACCACATGTGATGTGCTTGTCATAATTTTTACATAAAGAACATGCACCAGGCAGCACATTAAAGAACAAATTAATCCTATGTAAGCCAGAATTCTGTTTATAAACAACTACCTGGCCATTCTAAGAGTGGAAGTTCAGAGACCACTCCTCCCACCATGTCCCAGGGAAGCAGACAAGTTAATTCACTGTTTTTTTACAAGTTAGGATCTAGCATTATTCCTCTCTTTTAAGACTAAGAAAAATACAGCTGCAGAAAGCACAAAACCACACAAACCACAACAAATTCACTGATCCCTCTGCTCACAAGTTGTTTTTAAGAACTCAAGGTGACCCACCATTGGACTTCTGAGGCAAAGAAAACACTGGTGAGTTTGAATTGCTAACCCTTCACTTTGCATAACAACTCTTAACCTACTTGATCTTGAAGGCTCCTTGCAGGCAGGTTAACAGACTCATATAAACAGAGGCAGTGTCAGGAGCCTCTGGTTGAAGGCTGGTTGAAACCCTGTTGGTGTTTTTCCAGTTGTAGTCTATCACAATTCAAGGACTGCAGTCAGCCTTCAATACGGATTACATCTCAGTATTAAGAAGACAAAAATCCTCACCTCTGGGCCAACAGACAACACCATGATAGTTGGAGAAAAGGTTGGAATTGTCAACCATTTCAGCTTGTTTGGATCCATGGGTAACATTGTTGGTTGTCAGGAGATCAGGAGACAGATAGCACTGGGGAAATTGGCAGTTTGGGATCTCTCCAAGGTCCTGAAGGGTAATAATATCAGTCTAAAGACTAAGGCACACCTGATTCAGGCTGCAGTCTTTCCAATCACTTGCTGTGCATCTGAGAGATGGACAATGAATAAGGATGATAGAAGAAGTATGGAAGCACTTGAGTGTGGTGTTGGAGAAGAGTGCTGACTATCCCATGGACTGCCAAAAGAACAAGCAGATATGTGTTGGAGAAAGTGCAACCAGAATGTTCCTAGAAGGCAAGGTTGATGAAGCGTCACCTTACGTATTTTGGACGTGTTGTTTGGAGAGGCTATTCCTGAGAAAAGGACATGATGCCTGGAGAGGTGGAGGGTCAGTGAAGGCGAGGAAGACCTTCAATGAGAATGCTGCAGTGTCTGTGACAATGGCATCTATTGTCTTGGGATGATAAGGATGGTGTGAAATAGGACAGAGTGCAGATCTATTATTCATGAGTTGCTGTGAGTCATATTCGACTTGAGGGCACTTAACAGCCACATTTCTATCACTGTTCCTTCGTTGTGAACTTCAACAACCTAAACATCTGCCTTGCAGTACTTTCTTTGTAATCAGGATCACAGCCCCGAATCTCGTGCATCTGGAAGACAGAGAGATCTGTAACACCAAGGAGATGGTAAGAAGCAGTGGCAGAAATAACATCATCACACTCAGCCAATTCAGAAGAATGGTTTGAGACTGGTTTTATTAGCAAACGGTCTTATTATGTTAATTCTCATGCTTTCCAAGTATTCTAAAGATCTATCTCTCCCTCTCCCTCTCCCTCTCTCTCTCTCTTTCTTATCTATCTATCTATCTATCTATCTATCTTTCTCTCTTTAATCTATCTATCATCTATGTATCTATGTATCTATCTATCTATCTATCTACCTCTCTCATCTATCTATCTATCTATCTCACGGATATATTTTTCAGCTTTGGGGTCTCCATGTATACATGAAAGAGATTTTGTAAATAACTTTCTATAGCTGAAATCATTCAAGATTTTTTTAAAGTCAAGAATCATAGTAAATCACATTCATCTCAGAAATTCTTGAACAAAATTATTATACTCTGCTCCAAATTATGAGACACAGAGCTGAAATGCTAATGAAGAATTTTGGGTAGTAAACAAAACGACTCCTCAGAAATCTTCCAGTTATTGTTTTGGGGAGAAAAGCAGAAAAATATGACTGGTATTTGTTTGGGGAGAGATATTAAAAATGAAGAAAAATAGTAAGAAACAAAGCAAAGTAAATCTGTTATCAATTACAACTCAGGGGTAGTTTGTTCTGAGAATGAGATCATTCATTTCACTTCACCATGCCCACTATTACATGCACAGAGCATTAACAAAAATACTGTAGTGTTGCAGACCGAGGGTAAAGTATTTTTATAATTATTAATAATGAGACAGACTACCAGGAATGATATAGAACAGAGAACATGAAAAACAGGGGGTCAGCATTTCTTGACTGAAGCACTGACCTGAGCTTCCCTGTATCTATCTTTATTGAAAATTATCAGGAATTAAATCACAAAGAGAATTCAATGCAAATGAAGTCAAGCTCTTTCTATTGAAAACCTTCCCCTTGACCCAGGAGGGAGGGGTGAGCTAATGCATGAATCTGGTAAACCCTTAAGGATTGCCTTGATGACTCAGAGTGAACTCTAGCTTGTACCTCACCTCCACCACATCCTGACAGCATTTGGTTTATTACAAATATTTAGTATTGGCCTCCCATAGTAGTACTGTTGGAAAATTCTTTATAATTCTAGCATACAATACTGGATGACAGACTGGTGCTGAAATTACCACATTAAATATTATCAAATTCAAGTTTTACTGCACTTAGCTCCAGATGTGCCTTTTCATCCCTCTAGAAGCTGTTATTCAGGCTGAACTAGAAATCACCCATCTTACTCTTACCTCCTGGCTGGCTGGCGGACACAGCAACAGTTCCATTAGCCAAAACAGATGTGAAAGACAACCAGACCTCGAGATATGGGTTCAGAAGACCTAAAAAAATTCTTCAAGATTTTGGCAAACAATACCAAGTAAAAGGTTAAATTTGAAATGATGACTGTGAAGCACTATATAATTCAAATTATAAAACAGTTTCTCACCTGCTTCTTTCCCTTCTAGAACTTTCCTTTCATGCAGAAATAGAAGACACCAAGTTCAACCTACCGCCCGAGTGGGGGACTTAATGACAGTGACCACAGGCAAACAGGTGTGACAGAGAGGCAGCCAGACCCTGAGATATGGGCTAGAGGATCTGTGACCTCACCTCCCCATAGGACTACAATTATGATCTCACCTGTGGCAGGCATGCCAGTCTACCTTGGGGATCTGAGAAAAGTTCAGGCAAACTTGATTACCCTTTGTAATTTCTAGAAACTCTAATGTTTGATGAGCTTCTCCAAAGAAACACTTATTGGAGTGGCTTGGAGAATCTTCCTTTTCCATGATACCTGGAAACAAACAAGGAGTTCCATGGAGGGAGCAGGAGAGAATGAGGTTTGAGTCACGAGGGACTTCCAGAACAGCGTATGTCTCCCTAGATTCTCTGATTCCTTGAGAAGTTCTCCCCATACTGAAAGTTTTGTTGATTCTCAAGCTTCTGCATATCCTTGTCCTTTAATTTCTTGATAAAGGCATGTGCACAAACACCATGAGTCTCAGTAGGATTTTTCTGGTTGACTTCCACGTCCTAAACAACATACCTCTGGAAATTCTATGAACGTTTAGAAATGATGATAGTTATAGAAAGACTTCAAGCTTTTTGTTCATAGGGTTGTTATGAGTCGTGCTTGACTCAA